GCTGCCAGTAGTTGCCAAAGTTATGGAAGCCATTATTTCCGAGGAGATGACCAAATTCCTTCTCCAGGAACATGTTATTCCAACACAATAACATGGATTTGTCTCTGGTCGCTCTACTCTAACCAATCTCCTACATTGTGTTAACGACTGGACCTCATCCCTTAACAGTTCGCAGCCGGTCGACGTTGTTTATCTAGATTTTTCTAAAGCCTTTGACCGTGTACCTAAGCGCAGACTTCTACATAAGCTAGAACATTTCGGAGTTCGCGGTACTTTACTTCGTTGGATAGATGATTTCCTGACAGATCGATATTACAAAGTTAGAGTTGGCGAATCTTTCTCACAGGACAGGTTAGTGGAAAGTGGAGTGCCTCAGGGTTCTGTCCTTGGACCTCTGCTTTTTACGGTTTACACCAGCGATATTCCTTATTATGTCTCAAGTAAAATATCGTTTTACGCTGACGACACAAAAATATATGCCAATCCAAACACAAACCAGCTAACCCTCCAAATGGACTTGGACTCTATTTTAACTTGGTGTTCCCAGTGGTTACTACCCTTAAACGCGGAAAAATGTGTAGTGCTTCGAATTGGCAAAAATAACCCACTTGTGCCGTACTTTGTTAACGGGCAGCCATTAGAATCTGTGTTTTCGTATAACGATCTTGGTGTTATTGTGAACAGCAGCCTAACTTGGTCCGATCATATTACCTCTATTTGTAAACGTGCAAACTCCAGACTGTATCTTATTCGGAGGTGTTTTTCGAGAGTTTCAATGCAATTATTTTGCAAACTTTACACTTTGTACGTAAGACCCATACTTGAATACGCTGGACCAACGTGGTATCCCGATCTGGTTCGAGACAAGACTCTGTTGGAAAACGTTCAAAGAAAAGCCACTCGAATTTCTTTGGGACCGAGAAGACCGTCTTATGCAGAAAGACTTAGTATGGCTAACCTAACTACGTTTGAACTTCGCCGACAACGTGGAGACTTAATTACAACATTCAAAATACTAAAATTCAATTTTGGAAACCTCGATGAAATATTTATCATAAACCAAGATGAACGCCTCAGAGGTCATCAATATAAACTAAAGAAAGAAAATTTTTCTATAAGACAAAGACAGAACTTTCTTCCAAATAGAGTTTTTGAGTGCTGGAATAACCTCAACGACAACATTGTCTCCGCTTCCTCTACCAACTCGTTCAAAAACAGACTCGACAGTTTTATATTATAGTTAAAATATTGTTTTTCTGTTAAACCAAAAATTGTAATTTTATTTCTTTTAGTTGTAATTTTTGTTATTTACTAGTAGGTGATTAATGAAATTTCTTTGTTTTTGGGCATAATAGGGACTTAGTTCCTCTGCCCTCGCTTATATTATAATAATAATAATAATATTAACACAACCAAGTCAAATACTAAACCAATGGCCATAATTCTTCAAAGAAAATACTGAAAAAACGGTGGATGAGAGAATTAAATTGGATCAAACTGGATAAGAAAGAATTAAGTCCTTCGTCAGTAGCTGAAATAAAAGAAGCAATTACTAGACTTGAAAATAAGAAGGTACTCGGATCAGACAACATTAGAGCAGAATTAATAAAAGAGAGCGGATATCTCATAATAAATGCCATGTATAAATTAACCATTAATGCCCAAAGTTAAATTTTTATCAAAACGAAATCAAAACTTTAGAATGAAATAAAGCAAGGTTGCTTTTAATAGCAATGTGAAAAGTTTACGTTTTTTCTTCTTTGTAACTGTCCTTTTTTGACGTATGATATATTATACGCTGAGCAGGGAAGGACACAATTTCATAAAATACTATTTATTTTAAAATTATTACAAGATGTGATGCTCGGGATGAAGTCCTACATTACATTTGATGCTTCTATATTTGGTACACTTGCCACATTTGCCGCAAACGATTTTCGTCAGCAACATGTTTTCATGATTTTGGACGTACACTACGTGGCGTTGGAATATCTGGAGTTGTCAGCAATGCCTCCACAATTCGCTTGTAAAATGCTAAATAAGAAATTGCCTCAATGTTGCGATGAAGAAGCCACATGTTGACTATTGCCCCATTCAAGCAAAAATCTAAATATAGCCTAATACTGTTTTTTAGATCTAATTCGAATCCGATATAAACCTCTTAGCTTATCGAATAAGTCTACACCACCCATTCCCTTGTTATACATTTGCACAACGTTTGGTTGAGTGACCGCTATAATTTTTCTGTCTTTTCTGGACCATCATGTTATTAGTAAATATTTCTACATTTGAAATATTAGTTACCATAGTAACTTCATTATTGTCATTCCAGCGAACAAGAGTGAGCTGATGTTTTTCGCTGTGTAACGTGAAAAGTTCCACAAATTTGTTTTTTTATTTCTTTGAGTCCTTTCTCTTTCAATCCTGTCTTTTGATCTCCAGCCTTGTCAGTTAAGGTAAAGATGTAAAACAATTATCAATTTAGATAACAAATTCTTGTGGTAAAAAATCTGTACACAGCTTTTAGTTACAGAACTTCCTAACGAGTTACCCTATAATTATTTATCTCCACTTCCAGTATATAGATGAAATTATGCAAAGTAACCTTTATTGGTCGAAACGCACCAGAATTTATATCCTAACCGATAGGTTTTTCTCAAATATACTGCTTCACAAAATGATGTCCATATTACGGCTCCATGGCTTCCTCGACTGAGAAACTTCCATTCACTGGCTGGAGGTAATGATGAAAGCGTTTATTTAGATGGCCAATTAGAGGTTGAATTTCGAACGTTTTATTGGTTTGTTGGTACAACGTATTATCATTAAATTATCTGTTCAAATATGTTTCGACTCATAGTATTACTAACTAAATGTGAGTGAGAGTCCACATATATGAGAGTATGATACCAATGGGTGGCATCTAGAGAAAATAATGATGCCAAAGTTTTAATTTAAATTATCAACGGACAAAGAGAAAGGGCAGGATTTTTGTGAAGCGTATTTTATCGTTTCTTTACAAACATAGTCCATGAACCTTTCATCAAAAAATAACTTAAACACAACAATTGGCTTCAAATTTTGTTGTTCCCACTCATTTAATATATGGGGTAGCATATTGTTTTGGAAAATATGATTTATAGCTCATTTTTCCAGTTTTTTTCTTTCCACTTAAGATCAATTCTTTTCATAGTAACCTGATTCGTAATGTTCAGTCGTAGTTATATTTGACAGAAATGGTATTTTTTTCGAGAACCAGCTGTAACATCCATGCTTTGAGATAGAGTACCTCGGCCAGTACTTGGAAAAGTGTAATTAAACTGGTCTTCCTCATCACTTATTACCTTGCTTCCTCGTTGGGGTGGGCTGGCAGGTGTTCTAGATAGTTTTCTTGTTAGTCTGCTGATTTTTTTTTGCAACGAACAGTATAGCGCTTGGCACAGACCCATAGTTGCAATCCATATGTCTATATGGGCTCTATTATGCACTTATATACAAGAAATTTATTCTGTAGATAGCTGCGATTTTCGGCCAATTAGCCAATGCGTTTGACGTATTTTTATGTTGATAATGGTTTTTCTGCCAAGATGTGTACTTTCCAAGTGAGCTTTTAAAGTGTCATTCCCAGGTATTTCACTTCTGTTTTTACTGGTAGTAATATATCATTCAGTGTGATTTTTGGGCATGTGTTGTTTCTGTTCGTGAATGAAATTTAATTAGACTTGGTGTGGTTAACTTGATTTTTAACGTGATTTTCCATCTATTCACACAGTCCTGTAGTAGATTTAGGTCTATTTAAAGGTTTCCGGATACTACTTGAGGGTCATCATCGATGGATATTGTAATATTTTTATTAGTCCTAATTTATTGTCTTTATTCTAATTTATTGTCTTTATTCTAATTTACTGTCTTTATTCTAATTTATTAAAACTCACGATAATTTATCAAAAGTCTTTATTTTATACTAATTTATTTTAGACTTAATAATTACAAATAATTCATTTGCGTTCGAACAATTTTAAACCGATATCGCGAGCTTCTTGTTGACTAACTTTTCTCAATGAAAATCTTCCGTTATTTATACGAAACCAGCTGGTAAACAGAATTTTGTAGAAAATACGATGCCGTTCTCGATGTAGACACAGCGGCAACCGGTCTCAAAATTGGTATGTTCTTCATCGGCTCGTCCCAGAAAATTCGATTGTTGTTTGTTTAGCGAAGGGGACCCAAAGGATGTCAGGTAGATTTTTGACCTAGAAATTACGAGAATCAATACAAAAGAATTAGTCATAAAATATTTACAGTTCTATACGACATAACATTTAAAATCGTAACAATATTATGGCAGTGTCATCTGCGAACATAGCTACTGTAGTAGTATTTGTTGTTGGGATTTTAGCCGTGTATATGAGGTACAGCAAGGGGCCAAGGATAGTTTCTTGAGGATCACCGGATTTATAGGATAGTAAAGACAGGTTTCTGTAAGGAATCTGACTTAAAGTGACGTTCTGTGAGGTATGATTTTAATAGTAGATACTGAGGTGTGGGAAAGGATGAATTCATTTTATATAGGAGGCCATCTCAAATTTAATTTAAAAGAAATATATAATTTTTTAATTTTTTACAAGAAAATAGGTATAAAAATATGGTAGATCAGTTATAAATAAATTAGTCTATTTATTGAAAAAGTGTTTATTGTTAAATTTAAAACATATAACTATTAGTAAAAATTAATAAAAATTTAAATAGTAGATAAAATAGGAACAACTTCTCTCTTTTCTTCTCTTTTCAACTCTTTTCTGAAGAACTCCATGTAATATAGAAAATGATGATAAAGAATCATAAAAATACGTAAAATCGTTTAAAAAACCTTATCGGGGATCTAACGATGATTTTAGTGCTCGCATCTAAAGTTACTATTATATTGACTGAATGAGCCTTTTCTGTCTTTATATTAACCAATTTAGAAATTAATGGACTTATTTTTTTATTTTTTACAGACCATTGGTTTCAAGACCAGACTGTCGAGCTGGTTTACCAAAAGACTCATATCAGCAACGTTATCGAGTGTTTCTAGTCTACATGTAACGAAGAACGTGTCCCAGATATTATTCGAAGGTTACGATGAACCGATATTGGGCACATTATCGAAGTTTCCCTTTTTAAACGTCCAGGATAAATTTGGGATCTTTTATGGTGTAAGTCTGTATTTTTTATAACTAGATTTGTATTATGTAAACCTTCGCTTATTTATAATTTAAACTTAGTATATTCTATGCTATACATTTTACACTTGAACTTTTCGCGGGAGTTATATGTGCTTTCTGTGGTGTTCCGGGTTTGACCCTGCATCGAATAATTTTAGTTTTGAGAAAAACCATTATTTTCAAGTCAAGTCAGATAGTAAAGCTTTTTGCTGATGCTTGAAGTAGACTGACTGACTCTCATGCTCGATGCGGTTAGCTGATCAAGGCGCGCTTCCCTCGAACGGTCTTTGTCAAGGCTTCTTGTGATTGGTCCTGTTTGTGTGTAGGTAGAAGGAGTTCTACTCGGGTCTTGTGCCTTTGTGTATTTTTGAATTTTTTCTTTACAAGGCTTCTTCTTTTTTTGGTACCTATTAATTTCGAATATTGACGATCATTTTGGTTATAATTATTTTATTAACTGATGCTTAAAATAGATTAGTCGTTGTTGTAGGGAACATTTCCTTAGGTTTTTTAACCATGATATTCTTCTTCTCCCACTTTCTAGTTTTCCGAATACTTTGCCTTAAAGCATTATTTTTAGTAATCTGTATTTAGTATCGTTTCTCATTATGTCTCCGAGATGTACAGATGTACAGGTTAGTTGGTTATCTTGTCCGTCCATCATATCCTTAGGGTTCTTCTGTATAACCATATGTCGAAAGTTTTTTTTCATCGCTTAAATGAGTGTCCAGGATTGAACTCCGTAGTATAATATCAAGAAGATATTAACATCGTAGGAGCCTTCTTTTTATCTCCAGATTAAGGTTGTGGCTTTTAAAGAGTTTGGCCATATTGTTGAATACACTCCTAGCCTTTTCTATTCTACATTTTACTTCTTGTGAGTGATCCCATTGTTCGTTTACCATTGTTCCAAGGTAGGTTCCAAGATTTCACTTAGTTTATTTACTTTGTTTATTAGTTGCTGTAAAACTGTTTATATTGTCTGCAAAAATAACAGTGTCATCTGCATAGCGGATGTTGTTTAGGCGTTCTCCATTTAAAAGGATTCCATGTTCGCAATTTTCCAAGGCTTTACTAAATATTTCCTCTGAATAATATAGGTGAAAGTATACATCTTTGTTTAACGCCTCGCAGAATCTAGATCGCTTTCGGCGGTTCATCTTCACGATTTGTTCTTATTGTAGCTGATTGGTTCAAGTATAAATTTTGTATTCCACGGCGGTCTTTATATTCTGTTTGGGCTTTTGTTAGAACATCCATCATTTTTCGGAGTTGAACTGTGTCAAATGCTTTGTGGTAGTCCACAAAGCAGGTATAGCTATAGATATTATTATGAGAAAATTAATTTCTTAAAGAAATTTAGACTGTACTTCGTCTGGTCCTGGAGCTCTCCTTTCTTTTAATAATATAAGTGGTGCTCTCTTATTTCTACTAGTATTGGTGGTCCTGTTTCCGGAAGCTATTGGGAAACTGGTTCTCCGTCTAATCAAAATATAAATTTCGTATGTAATTTTTCCAGATATTATCAATACTCTCTTAACAAGTTTACTTACTCTTCTGTTTTACATTTACATGTAATTTCTCTTACCTTTTTATGCACGTGGAAGTCGTTATATTCACTTAGGTTACTTAGCAAGTACTTTAAAGTTCACTGAAGATGGTCTGAGAAGACCGAAACGTTTGTTCTGAATAATTTTATGGATTTTTACTTAATATTTCAATGAATACATAGCAATTTAACTAGAAGTTTTTACTTAATTGTAAAGTTTTTTAACTATGTACTGTAGTATACAGCCAACCCCGGAAACTTTATGAATTTTATCAGTTAATTGAGTTTTTTTTTTATTCTAGAAAAATAATACGTCTGGCAAAGACGGAGTTTTCTCAATGCACTATAAAAACGACGAAAACTTCGGGAGACTTGTCACATGGAACTACAAAACCAAACAAATTTCTACGAGGGCCATTGCAATGACATCAAAGGTTCAGCGGGAGAGTTTTATCCATTTCACAGGCAAAGACAGAAAGTCACACTGTATTCAGCGGAGCTCTGTAAATATGCCGAATTAGAATATGTAGAAGATGTCGTTATTAAAGGTGTTTTGGGCTATAAATATACGGCAGATAACATTTTTGATAATGGTAAGTTTTATATTGTTATCTAGTAAAGTAGCCTACAATCTATTCAATTAATATTTACATTTATTTCTTAGCATTTACAATTAATAATACAAGAATAGTCCAATATCTGTACCGTATTGCGCTGATCCATATTTAATAAGCAGATAGGACGTAAAAAATAAAAAAAAAATGAATTGTGGGAATTAGGGCATTTCTCCTATCTTAACGAAGATACCCTTTGTAGTGGAAACAGATAACCAGGAGGTCCGTAAAATATTATATATATAATATATATAATATATATATATATATATATATTATATATATATATATATATATATTATATAAATGGATAACACCGTAACCGTGCGCTTGAGTCCTATTTCCGTGGGCTATTTTTTTTAGCAGTTTTTAGCAAGAAAATAAAATGGATAGAAAAAAATAGAAAAAATTAAAAAAAAAAACAAGAAAAAATGGAATGTGCAAAAGTTGATAGATGCGACAATTGCAGAACGATACTTGGAAAACATTACCAACAGGCTAAGAAATCTAAATGTAAATGAAGAAGTCTAGACAAATATAGACACCTACTGGACCAGAATAAGGAAGCCATTGAAGCAGCAGCGAAACATGAAATAGGTACAGAAATTTGTGCCCGTAGAAATCATTGGTTTGACGATGAATGCAATATTGCAACAAAAGAAAAAAATGAAGCCTACAGAAAAATGCTTATCCGATGAACTAAAACAACTGTAGAGAATTATCAGCCAAAGAGAAGAGAAGAAAAGAGGATACACAAAAGAAAAAACAAAGTCACTTAAATAAGGAACTTAAATATATAGAAAACCTCCACAGAGGGAAAGAATTCCCAAGGCAACCCCAAAATAATTTAAAAGTCAGAATGGCGACCAAACAACAAGAAAAGATGGATTGAATAGATGGATGGAATACTTTAATCAGGCAGTTAATATAGAGGAAAAAGAGAAAAATCTGGAATACGAAATAGATGAGGTAACTGGAGCAGACGAGAGAGAAGAGGAATCACCAATTATTCTTGAAGTTAAAGATGCTGTTAAAAACTAGCCAGAAACAAATCACCGGGTTAGATAATCTTCCAGCTTAACTATATAAAAAAAGGTGGCCACGATACCATAATGGCATTTCAGCAGTTTATAAAAGAAATATGGATACAGAAATCCCTCCCCAATGATTCGAATATTGGAATACTTTGCACCATACATAAAAAAATGGAGATAATCTCTAATTACAGAAGAATTACGCTTTTTATTGCAGTGTATAAAATATTTTCCACAGTACTATGTCACAGCATGGAATACTAGGCTGGTTTCAGAGGTAATAAATCGACAATTCATCAGATTGCAACGCTAAAACAAATTTTAGAAACAACACTGGAATATGGCATTGATACTCATCACATATTTATAGACTACAAAACAGCCTACGACTCTCTGAACAGAATAGAAATGTTCAAAGCAATGAAAGAGATAGGAATACCAAGTCAGTTGGTAAATTTGACAAAACTAACTCTTGAAAAAGTTGAACGTGGACTAAGAATTCAGGGGATTTGTCTGAACCTTTTAAAACAAATAACGGGTTGCGCCAGAAAGACCTTCTCTTCTGTATACTGTTCAGTCTGGCTCTGGAAAAAATAATACGTATGTCACAAATCACAACCACCGGTTCAGTATATAATAAATCAATGTAAATCCTTGCCTATGCTGATAGTATTAATATTGCTGAGAGAATTGAAAACGCTGTACAAGAAGCGTATATCGCATTAAAAGAATCAGCTACAAAAATGGGTTTAATACTAAACACCAACAAAACAAAGTATATGAAAACAAGCTAGCAACTACAAATCCCACGACCACTTGTTATAGAAAACAACGTCATTGAAGCAGTAAACGAATTTGTATACCTAGGAGCGCTCCTTAATACTGAAAATAATACTTCTGCAGAGATAAACCGCAGAGTTTGCACGGCCAACCGATGCTATCTTGGGTTTAGTCTTCTCCTTAAGTCGACAATTATATCGAGAAATACTAACTCGACTAACAAAACTAATGAAAACATGCTAGGATGCTTCGAAAGAAAAGTACTAAGGTGAATCTATGGAGCAGTGAATTTTTTTTCTCGGTTTTTTGTCTCGGACTATTATGTGGTCTTCTAAAATGACAGTCCAGATGTTAACCTTTTGCAGCTGGTTATGCTGGTTTTGCAGCGCCCAACACCTGGCAATGGAAGGATTGTGTCTCCCTACTAAAGAAACAGAAGATTCATCAGTAAATAAAATGCTTTTAATAAAATTTCGTTCATGATTTGCCTTTGCTAAATAAAATCTGCTGCGTTTACGAATATTTAAAATTCTTGTAACCGTGCTTTTTGCATACTTTCATTGCAGTAAACATTGCTAACATCTAACTATCTAGTAACGCTTTTACTTAAACGTCTTGAATCTACCTCGATTGTTTTTACAAATTTGTGTATCCCGGTATTCCCTTTCCTCAACTTTTTCTGGCGACACTTCTAGAGCGTGATATAACTGCAATTTTTGAGGCAGTAACAACTTTCAGCATTTTTAACAATATTATGAAATGACTGTACACAAGGAATTGGTCTTCCCTCAAAAATACAGAAAATAAATCTACACACCATCTAAGACAATATTTTCATATTCGAATGGACACCAGAATGGACATGGTAAAAGAAGACGTGGAAGACCAAGATCTACATGGCTACAAGAAGTAATAAATGATCTTAACAGGGCGGGCATACACAAGAAGTAATAAATGATCTTAACAGGGCGGTTATCCACAATTACCACGATAAAACTTTTTTATTATTTGAAAATTTTCTGCGAGCATATAAACAGACATGTTGTTTACAAAATAAATTAAAAATCTACGCTGCTATTGCTTTAAACAACCACTGTATTATGACAAATTATTGGTGAAGGAGCAACGAAGGTTCGTGGAAAGTAGATGACGCACAGTGTTGCCATTATAGTATGTGTATCTAATTTAAAATTTTACATACTACACTTCATCTAATTTACATACGATGCACGTTATCGGCGCCACAGTTCGTGACGTCACATGATACCAACACGAAATATTTAGCATAAATGCATTATAAAAGCGTTTTTATTAAGAACATTTGTTCGGAACACACGGTAACTGTAATCTAACGAAGGTGAAATTTTCGCATAAATTGGTACTTATTTGACAGTTGCGGTATTGACACTTTTTGTTCTTTATTATTTTGAATATTAAAGTGAATTCCTCTTGTTTTATATTTTTACATATTTAATAAAATCTGTTCTTTTTAGAACAAAAATTAGTGTGTTTTATTTCAAAAAATGTCATGTGAGAATTTAAATAATCGTTGTGAAGAGATGGTAATACTTTTGCAATAATTATGTTTTTTATTAAATTAAAATGGAGTCAGGATTTTTTTATACTTTGGCAACTATGTCAACTTCGATCTCTGACGTAGATAATGACGTGCATCGGTATGTAAATTAGATAAAGAATATATCACTTTGGACATACAAACAGTGGTACCGGTGTTCTTATGTTGCCCGTTTATATAACCAAAATGTTTTGCCCCCATATAACTCGTGCATTATTTTCACAAAAATAAGGTCTTTGCTCCGCTTTATATTAGCATAGTCACCGTCTTTTCCCCAATTTTAAATTGAAAGTAGTAAAATAAATTTTCGTTAGTTCAGCAAGTAAAAAAAGTATTTTTGCTTCGTTACGCTAACTAACCAGACATCTGTGTGAATTCCACCAAACTTTATGTAACTAGACGAAACCATCAAGACTAACTCAATTATTTTTCAGGTACTCATCGACCAGAAAATGCCTGTTTCTGCACGGGAGAGTGTATCCCGTCGGGGGTTTTTAACGTTTCTACGTGTAGGGATAACTCCCCGAGTTTTTTATCCTTTCCACATTTTTATCGGGCTGATCCTTATTACACGGACAAGATGAGCGGGATGAGGCCCGATAAGGGGAAACATGAATTTTACATAGTTATCGAACCGGTAAGTAAAAGTTTATATCTAGGGATTAGACATCTTGGGAGAAGTTATTAGGTAGTTAAAGGTGAAAAGTTTGTATTAAATCGACTGCTAAACAACCGATAATAAGTGTAAAGAAATTGTAACCGTATTTAAAATAGAAGTCTATAAATTTTTAGCACAAAAATGTTTGATCTATTGTCGCAACTGTCTCCTATAAATCTATAAATTGGTCTACTTTATTCTAACCATTGTCATTCTTAAGGTATTCCGACAATACCACTAAAATCGCCCACATTTAAAGATATTTTTAATAAGACTTAATATACTCTAAATGTAGGGCAAGGAAAGGTATATTGGTGATAAAAATGAAAAATAAAAATTATATATTAATTCGAAAACTAAGCAAGAAATAAGTTTTACTTTATCACGTTACTTATTATTTAAAGTAAATGTTTAGAAGAGTTAATTTAACAGAAAATGATTAATAATGATAGTAAATGTCAAATTGACATACAAACTTATGTTAGGTAAGTTGGTGACACGGTAAGGTATATTGGTGATAGTGGTTAGGAAATTTGGTGATATTATGGAAATTGTATATTTAATCAGATATTTAAAAAGTTTATTCCATACAACGATCACATCTATAATAAAGTTTTTCATCGGCGTCAGTATCTTCGATAGATATGCAAATCTCGTGGTATGGTATCAAACAAGATGAGCACTGAATCTATTGGGCTCCATTTCTTTTCTTACATCAGTTGAATATAGGACTCCACATAAGCCACACACCCAATCATCTATTTTACTTTTTTTGCATTTTGGACAGATTTGTATGAAGTCGAGGGCTGTTGCTGAAGATTTTCTGTTACTGAAGTGTTTTCATTTGTCGGTGTTAAGCATTTCGCACTTGATTCCTTTTTCTTGACCTCTCTGGACGTTTTGAAGCTGTTGGTGTTTTCAAATATGATCGACTGTGGCTTTAGGATTTAAAATAGAAGTTTCAGGTGCTGCGTCAGTTGAAACTGGAGAAGCAGGAGCTATGTCAGTTAAAGATGAAGGCCGTAATGCTTCTTTTGGAATAACATCTTCGTTTAAAGGACATATGCTTGTTTTTTTAAAAGCATTCTCAATGTTTTCTTTGTAAAGGCGCTTATGTAAGCTGGATTCAAAATGGAATGGAAGTTGCTACGATTTGGAGCATCCGTAGGGTTATTGCTCATATAACGATTTATGCTATCGCGCCAGTAAGTCTTAAGTGGCTTGAATAGTCCCACGTCAAGTGGTTGCAATAGGGGCAATGGTAAAGTAACCTATTTATCTTTCGCTATTTTCAAAACTTCAGCTTCAATATGGGCAGAATGAGAGTCCATCATCAAGACTACAGGACGTTCAGGCGGTATCGTAGTGATAAAAAAATTAACCATTCCAAAACAATCGAATTGATCCATCCTTTAGGAGATAATTTTATTAATGCGTTGGGAAGGGCATCATTTTAAGTGTATCATTCCATCTAACACTTTAAAGATTACCATAGGAGGAATCCATGTTCCATCAGCACAAATGCATGCTAACATAGTTTGAGTTTGACCTCGTTCAGCGTAGGATATTTTATAAACATACTTTTTACCAATGCCGGTAACAACTTTGGAAGGTTTCACTACATACGATAATCCAGTCTCATCGCAATTCCAAATTAAATTCGGTTTGTTTTTTATATTGAGTTTCGTAAGAACATCATTCAGTTTCGAAAAGAAATCTTTGATCATAAATTCATTAGCTATGAAAGCTCTGTAGGCCGAAAGATTTTCTGGCACAGAGAAGTGTACTACTTTTAAAACTATTCCACCACCATTTGCTTGCAATGCAGTTAGTTGACGGCAAGAATTTCTCCCGACCATCCACTTTAGCAAGATCATAAGCATATTTTCTAATTTGATACACGGTTAGTCCAAAACCCAATTCTTGCATTTCTATAATATAATTGTAAAGCCTCAACTCTAAATCACATGACAATGCAAAAGGCCTCCCCAGTTTTCTTACCGAATCTCTTCATTCGCTAGGTAACGTTTCAAAGTGCTCCATGGGACTTCTACTTCCTTTGCAGCTTTATATATAGTCTTACCTTCATTTCTTACTAATCTGACAGCGTTTTGAAGTTAATGTTGATTATATTTTCTATATTTGCACTCTTTTTCCATTGCCAATCTAAAAGTAAAAATTAAATAGGGTATTTGGTGATGGTAAGGGAGGACGGGAAGTAGAGCATTTCCTGGTTCAAAATTTACAAAAGTAGTAGAACACGACTACCACTGAACTGTTCCGCTCTGCTGTAAACAAAGTAAAGATAGCGTGAAGATCGCCAACATCCGGAACGGATAGGCACTTTAAGAAGAAGATTTGGTGATATCGGAATCTTGTATAGGTAATTTGGTGATAAAAAAAGTTAACAGTTTTTAAAAATAAAATACATTTACGGATTCTTCAAAACAATATCTTTTACATAGTATACTACACTTCTCTATTTTATTTTAAATAAAAGAACAAAATATATCCAAAGTTACCGTCTCAAAAGTTCTTGAAAAATGTGTGCAAAACCACTAAGAAACAACAACCGTAATTTAGGAAATAAAAACTTACCTTGGCTAAATCACGAATTCAATGCAGCTTTTTTTTATTGATAATTAGTTTATTGAATAGTTTTATAAAGTTTTATAAAGAAAACAGCAATTATTCTAATAAAAATGTAACCAAATATGTAACAGTCTTTCACATTCAATAAGAAATGACTCCACTATCGCACAATGGTCAAAACAGTCTGTTTACTAAACGCAGGTGTGCGCATCGCTAAATCGGAATATATGTTTGTCCTGCTTACACTCGTAGCAACTTACTAGCGCTGTGTCATGAATGTGCTTGCATAGGGAACTGTGTGGTAATCTGATTAAACATTATCACCAAATTACTTGTATCACCAATATACCTTTCCTTACCCTATATTTGGAGGAGCACTAGATTTATATTATTTAGTTTTATAATGATAGCAAAGACATGATAGTTTTAACACACATAAAAAAATTAAAGAATTACCTCACAACAATAGAACACGAAAACCGGGAATACTGAAAGATGCAAATGGGAAACTTGTATTGAATACTAACGACAAATTAAAGAGATGGACAAAATACATCAATGAACTGTTCAAAGACAATAGAACAGAGCAGATGGAGATAGAAGTAGAAGAGGATATGGTTTTAAAGATATTAAAAGAGAAAATTAAAATGGCATTAAAAATAGCAAAAATAGTTAAAGCGTTAGGTCCAGGCCAAGTCAGGTGAGAAATCTTAAAATGCATGAATGATGTAACCTTAGACATTATAGTAGACTTATTTAACTCAGTATACAAAACAGGACACATACCGAAACAATGGTTACTCTCCACCTTTTGTGCTATCCCTAACAAAACAAACGCTAAATATTGCCGTAAATACAAAACAATATCGCTAATAAGTCACATTCTCAAATTATTCCTGAAAATAGTACATGGTCGTATAAATAAAACACTGGAAGAATGAATAGATGATAGTCAGTTTGGGTTCAGAAATGGACTAGAAAGCAGAGAAGCGTTATTTGCTTTAACTCAATGTATTAGCTCAAAGACGCATGAATATGAATGTTGATATGCATGTTTATTACGTTGATTTTAAAAAAGCATTTGACAAAGTTAAACATGGAAAATTAGTCCAAATTCTAAAAACAAAAACATAGACCATAGGGACTTACAAATATTAACAAACCTCTACTATAATCAAAGAGCACAAATCGTAATAGATAACGAACCCAGTCCAGAAATTGAAATCAGGAGAGGAGTTAGGCAGGTATGTATTATGTCCCCATTACTATTTAATGTATATAGTAAAGCCATTTTTGAAGAAGCATTACTATCTCAAAGTGAAGGAAAATAACGGAAAATCTATTAACAACATAAGATATGCAGATGACACCGTGATTATGGCAAGCTTTGCTAAACAACTCCAATTACTGCTAAACCAAACAAACAGTTTCTGTGAAAACTATGGACTAAAAATGAATATAAAAAAGACCAAAGACTTTTTTATGTACTCTGTAACGATCGCATCGTCAGCTCTTGCCGCCGGCTGGCCACTATCTGCACGCACCCACTCCTACTGACACCTTCTACTACCATTCAATACACGCTGGAGGTGGAACACCGGCAAATGTATAAAACAGCGTAGATATTGATAGAAACGGAGTTTGAATCGGATAATTGATCTGGAAGCACTTCAAACGGGCCTTTGAATATTGATCAAAGGCCAAACTCTCTGGTAGTTCAAGCTGGAGTACTGATCTCGTAGTAGCTCCTAAGCTGGGTCTGGAGTATGATCAAAGGCCAAATCATTCTACCCATCAGGTCAAGTATCGATTAGTCGCTTTCAGTTCTCGTCCGTATCGAATAGTAATCGACTTGGCGCCCTCTATCATAAACTAAGTACTGATTAGTATTTCCCTGATGTTTGGTTATGACAATACATCGTCATTTTATTTTAAACTTTCCCAGTATCAATAATATTTATTTCTCATAGGTGTCAACAGTATGATCGTTGCGTAGTCGATTTTTTCACTAAGATCAGTGTTCCCAACCTAAAGAGTGGGATTAATATACCAGCGCAGAATAGTAATAACTAGACTTCGGCAATATGCATATTTTGCATATTGTGCATATTTTATGCAAATATTTCATATTTTGGCATATTTGTATAAAAGTTTGCATTAAAGTGCATAAAAGTTCAGATTTTTATACTGTATTTGAAAATTTTTAAACATACCAATTTATTTCAATTCTTGTATAAAATTTTGTAGTCATTTTAATCAAGAAATGATCTAAGTACGTAATCTCTACAGGTACAAAACATTTACAATTTCAAAGAAGTCAATTTAAGTAGCCCTCAACATTCTTAGAAAGTCTCGGTCACTGAGGCATTCAGTTATTGGATAATCGCTAAGGGTTCGCTCATTTGCATTTTATGATCTAATCCCCAAATCTATCTACAATTTATTGTATCTTAACAGCAGGTAAACGGCTAATAGTTTTTGTTCCTAATTTAGGGATTTTCCAAAATCTCCCATTTATTGAATTAGGTACCTAAACATTTCTAATTTGATGCTCAGATTTGTAAATCATTTTTGTTTTGATATTCAAAGCGTAAACACTCGTTGTGCGTAACAAAAAGGAAGATTGTGATTTTATAATGCCTAAAACAACCAGTGCTTCAACTTGGATTAAACCTTATAAAGAGCTGTCTATGGATATGGGAAAAATCTACTGTTCAGTCTGTGGCAAAATTGTAAGTATCTAATATTTTTCTATTAAATATCTAATATTTCATACATACAGGGTGTTTACCAAATGACACTTACAACGTTTGACTGTAGATACTTCTCGAAAAATTGAACAAAACGATATAGTTAATGAGGGGTCAAACTTATTTACTTTTCGAGATACAGGGTGTTAAAATTAAAAAAAATTAAATTCTTTTAGTTAATAACAACAATAACTTTAAAACCAATAAACGTATTTACTTGAAATTTAGTACTCGTAGGTTGTTTTTAAATGAAAAATAGCTTCCTTTAGTGAGAAAAAATTGTCCATGGTACAATACAATGGTGTGTATTTAGAAAAAATTTTCACCTTTACTTTTTTTTATGAAGTCAGCTATTCTAAAACACAATTATTTTTATTGTAATTGAATTAACAAAAAAAAACTTTTGTTGAATTTTAAAATAAGTTATATGATGTACTAATGGTTAGTAACAAAAACTAATTTGTGGATTAATACTGCATTAAAACACTTAGCGAGTGTTTGTTTTTTCCAAACCAGTTATTTGATTAACCAAAAAACACCTTGTATATTTTTATATTTTAAAGGTTGGGTTAAAATAAAGGTTTTATTTTTTATTATATAGATAGCATGTGAGAAGAAATTTCAGATAGACCAACATGTGAGAACTGCTTCACACATTGCAAAAAAAAGGAAAAAATAGGAGGAAAACATCAAACTTCAATGGCTAAATGTTTCCAATCTCCTTCAAAAAATTAGATGAGCAAGAAACTTTTAATGAAGACTTGTGTCGCGCATTAGTGTCTGCAAACATACCGCTTTCAAAATTAGCAAATGTAAATTTTAGTTCATTTCTAAAAAAATATTGCAAACTTAATGTTCCAAGTGATCGGTCTCTAAGAAGAAATAATGTGAACGGGCTATACTCGTCGGTGTTAATTAATATTAAGGAAGAAATTGCAGATAATTATTTTTACATATCTGTAGACGAAACCACTGATTCCTCAGGAAAGTATATTGCTCATTTATTGATTGGTGTTCTTAAAGAAGATACCTTACCAAAATCTCATCTTATTTCATGCCAGCAACTTGAGAAAACAAATGCTTTAACAATTTCGCGTTTTATACAAGAAACATTAGCAACTTTTTTTCTTTCGACAACTATTCCTTCTAGTAAATTACTGCTTATTTTATCTAATTGCTCTTTAAGTAATCTTTAATTATCCTTATATTATTTTAAATATTTTTCCCAGATTTAATACATGTTACTTGTGTAGCGCATGGATTAAACAGAGTTGCAGAGGAAATACGAAAAAAGTTTCCTCTTGTAAATACCATGATATCCAGTGTCAAAAAAGTATTTCTTAAATCTCCTATAAGAATTCAACTTTATAAAGAAATGCTACCTAACATTCCTCTTCCACCACAACCTATTTTAACGCGATGGGGAACATGGTTAGAAGCAGCTAATTTTTATGCAGATCATTTTGTTAAAATAAAGAACATAATTGATACGTTAACAGATGAAAGTTCCCAATCTCTTTTGGATTCTAAACAAACTTTTCAGAGTAACTTGCTTCAACAAGAACTTTCATTTATAAAATCAAATTTTAGTTTTGTTCAAAAAACAATTACTCAGTTAGAATCACCAAAACTGTCATTGTTCGAAAGTACAGCATTAATAAAAGAATTTGCGTCATGTTGTCGGAACGTTAGAGGTAATATTGGAAAAGATATTTTAAAAAAATTTGAAGCTACTATGGAAAAAAATAAAGGTTACCATATTCGTTCTGAAGTAGTCAGTGTTCTAGCTGGAAATATTTCGGAAACAATTAATTTAGAACCAAATGTTTTGGTTAGTTTGAAAAATGCTCCCGTTACATCAGTTGATGTTGAACGAAGTTTTTCCATATATAAATATATGTACTCAGACAGAAGCCACAAGTTTTTGTTAGAAAATTTTGAACACCACTTGGTCATTTATTGTTACCATAATTCTAAATAAGTTTATTCATACTTAAAAATGATGTAGTTACTTAAAATAAATGTAAATCTTAATGAATAGTAGGAATATTTAGTTATGTACACTTTTTTTTTAAATAAAATTGTTACTATTTTACGATTTTTTTATTTATTTGTATGCATATTTTGTAAAATATTTGCATATTTTCGGGTAAACACGTGCATATTTATGCGCATATTTTCTACATTTTTATTTGCATATTTTCTACATTTTTATTTGCATATTTGCCGAAGTCTAGTAATAACAGTAGATGAGAAAAAATCATCGCTAAATTCAATTTTATTGCATTAAATAATGGATAATGGTGGTTAATTATTTTTAGGAGACTACTGAATTAAAAGTTCAATTTAAAATCAATAAACTAGTATAAATATGATTACTGACTTCTGACACAGAATAATAAACAATCAGAAGGGACACTCTCAGATGCCGCCTTTGAAGTTTTTCAGCACGCGCGCCATGTTTGAGGAGGACACAGACATATGATTTGTGTGGTTATGTAATTGTTTATATTTATGTTTAATTATATTATATTTATGTTATTATATTTAACAATGTTAATATAATTGTATAGTATGTCTATGATTGCCGTAAGTCAAATAAACCTGGTTAATTTTTCCATGCACACCACATAATTTCTTTAAAATCCTCCTAAAACATGGCGGAACGTCTGCGCGGAGGAGATGCGGCGTACTTAATTTTCCGTGGAGAGTGGGTATTCTGTATGTTTATTATTCTGTGCTTCTGAATTGATTTAGATAACAGCACATATACTATTTGAGCTGTTAATGAAGGTGAACAGACTTTGAAATTAGTAGGTTTTTGAGTTAACCGTTGTCTAAAGTCAGCTTTACTCTAAGACTTTTTTTATCTTAAACCGAATTATTTACAATATTAATATTATTAATTTTATTTCATTTTAGATATCGGGAGTCATAATGCATGTCCAGATAGTAATGCAAGTGAATATGTTGCTACAACCAATTCCAAGTATACGGTACGTAGAAATTATTAGTTTTATTTTAAGTACATCATTATTATCATTATCATCATACAGCCTCAAAAGTCCAAGACTAAACATAGGCGTCTTTCTCGTGTTTCAAAACTGTCTATCTTTTGCCACTCTGATCAGTTTTTATTTTGTCTTCCTAAATGGTCAGCCCATCGTATAAGGTGGTGGACACAATTTCCAAAACCTCATCAAATTTCAACCCCATTTTTTGAAAAGATTAAAAACTACCAGAAATTTTAGGTGATGCCAGAATCGGACTCTTATATCAATATAATTTTAAAAAGGTTCTTAAGCAAACATGAAAGTATTTCTCAATGCGTATTATTCTCTTGTGCCTGTAACTTTCTTGTATTTGTTTTCTATTTTTATATCAATCTTAAAGTCGAAATATGGAATCTTGCACTGTTGGGCACTCCCATTTTGAGTATTTTTCAAAGTTAGCTTTATTAAATAATATTTTCATTGTTTTCAAATTACATATGTTGACGTTTTATATCTTACAAGAAAAGAAAAGAAAATAGTATTATCTACTCCGTCCGGTCTGATAATATTATTGTGAGATCTCGAAGACTTCATATAAAACAGACTGGGTGGAAAAGTTCACATCGCCATATGGAGCTCCCAATGGCTAAGAGAGATCGTCGTATGGATATATAGGACCACTGGACAAGTGCAAATAAGGTATAACCAAATAGAGTCAGCGGATCAACTCAGAACATGACAGAGAAGCTACATCATAATCTGTAGATTGCTGGATTGAATATAACATATTTACACACATATAATTAAAATATACACATATTAATACACATACAAACCATGTTTAATCGGCAAATCATCATGTTGAGATTTTCCTTAGCTGTAAATGCCAAGAAAATGCATATTGCGCGGAAAAATGATTGTCTTAGCAACGCCTCAAAGAGCTCGTAAATGTATATTCGAGCTTTACTTGAACTCTGACAGAATATCGTCCCCAAATCGTAATAATAAAATAAACATAATACAAAAATAGAGAACCCAGAAGAAATGACTGATCCTTCTAAGTGAATAAATAAAAATATAAAGCAAACGAAGAGACAGAACTTCCCCCGGTCGCGGATTCTGCTCTTCGCACTAAATAGACCTCAATGACGGCTTCCGTAGATCTTACTATTGATATGGAAAGGTTAGATGTAACCCAGATCCAAGAGCACTGAGTATACCAAGGATTAATTAAACATTCATCGGATGTTAGCGAAGAACTTATTTTTAAAGAAACTGTAGAAGTCCTGGGGACTTGTTAAAATAGAGAATAAAAGATGTACAATAAGCAACTTTTCTGCGGTGGAAACGATATAGAGCAGGACAGCTTACAGAGAAGAAAACAATGTTACGTAGAAAAAATATGCTATTTTCGCTGTGTGATAAATCTTTTGACCTTTAAAAAGGCTTTATCTTATACAGAACTTATCCTTTTAATATGCTCTGTTTCAAAATTTTCCTTGTATTTCTTCGATTCTGCTTTTCAGCCTTATCCATTTTATAAGATTTTTATAGTCTTGGTGTCGTATTTTCACTATATGTGAAAACACATCTGTTGCCACTATTTCAATTTTCCTTTTATTATTTTCTGGTAAACTTAAAATATCTGGTTTATAAAGTAAAAAACTAAAAAAAAACTAAGAGATTCAAATATTTACATCTTTTTCTTCCTTATATCATTACTCCAAAATTAAACAAGCTTATGAAGTTTGAAGAGCAATGTTGTGATATTCAATAAACTAAATATACGTAGTGCGAAACGATTAATAAAAATGAAACAATATAGTGGCCAACTTACAAAATAAGGTACAATATACGAAACCAAAATAAAGTACGCAATACAAAAAAAGTAAGATTAATTTAGTAAAAACAGTTTTTACTCAATATTTTGTTATGTTTCCGCAATTAGACTATTCAAGCAGCGGATAAAGAATATTTGATGTATTTAACATGCGATGTTGGAAAATATTGTTTAAAATAAATAAAACTGCAGTCAATAAAACAAATACTTCCGTTTTTGCTAGAGACTAATCGATAACATCTACAGTTCCGTATTTTCCCTGACATATCTAAGTGCAAATAGTATGAAGGGACTAGTGGTCCAAAGAAAAGCTGAAAGAAGAAAGAAATCGGTTCCAATGAATAGCGCGATGGTTTGATTCAGTTAAAAAATTACTTAAAACAAAATTTGGTCAATGCAGTACGTGGCAAACAAATAGGAAAACAGCGTATAAAGAGCAATACGATTCCTGGAAAAATCTCAACATTCGTAAAACATCACACGTCCGTTATTATGCACAGATATAAAAAGAGGGAGTTTTTCTGACATATACCATTAATTTTTTAACCTTCTTGTCATACACTGTAGACCATCTTTGCCATTGGCTGTGATAATTTGTCATCAGCAAACTGTTAACTCTATAGAAAAATATTTCCAACATCTATCGTACAAACAATAAAGATAAGAGCATTCAAGCAATCCTTCGCTGTTCAGAAATGTCTTAAATTACTATAATATCTGCTGATATGATTATGATAGATCCCATACTCCATATACTTTATTATAGTAACTTATTATAGTTACTTAATTTTATTTTTATTGGAGACAAAAAAACTTATGAATGCACTTCGTTCCATTTTGAACCTAAATTTCTTGTCTTTTTTACTTATATTTCTTTAAAAAAGTTACAAATACTCAAATTAATCATCTTTAATTTTTGTTGTTGCAGAATATATGAAAAAGTACCAAGACTCTACGTACCTTTATTCTACTTCACTCAAACCATACCACTAGCAGATGATGTAGCCAGTAGCCTAAGACTGATCCAAAATCTTCCCGAATATAGCAACTATATTTTTTACATCCTACTAGGACTTGGTAGTTTGTCCATTCTGTGGGCGTTATGTTCTTGTATATGGTGTTATACAAGCAAACAGACGTTTCACGTCAATGGAAAATCAAAAAAGACTCATGATGAGATACCTCTTCGAGACAAAAAATGACACTTTTTATTTTGTTATTGTATTTTTAATTTTGTTTATAGAAATAAATTTTTTACCAAATTGATGTATTTTTTTACCTACATTATTTCTATAATACCTACATTGTTTCTATGGTGTATATATTTTCTCTCAAATTTTGCAGGTTTGGAAAGGAGGCTCAAAAACGAAGAAACCAAAAAACATTGTTGGTCATTGGTACTTCTGTTGTCTACGGGAGGTCTTAATACCTCAGATTTGCTGAACATTTTGTATACGTATAGTTTGTATAGTTTGTATGTTAATATGTTTTATTTATTGTAATTTCTAGATATTTCGCTTGATTTGGTCATTTTATTTCTGTGTTAAACGTCCTTATTCCGCGATCTGGTCTGGCTGTTTTTTTTAACACGGGAATCCAAGGATTACAATTTTCTAGTACATCAACCAATTTTCCAGGCAATCTAGTATTTTTTGTAGATATTGTTTTGTTAAAATACTGTTTAGATTTCTGGCTGCTATTGATATCATAAAGACTGGTCATAGTTTGCGGTAAAGTTGGTGTATCCACAATGTAGATCGTGAACAAGAAAGGTGACATTATTAATTAATCCGCCTTCAAATAGTACTTGTCCTATTTAAATTCTGTAACAAGATTCTGTAACAATTCTGTAAATAAGAGCACGAAACATGGCTATACTGTAACAAAATAGGCTCATTTTGTGAATGATTCCTTCTTCTTCTTTATGTACCACGTCCTTTCAGAACGTTGGTTACCATCATAGCTATCTTAATTTTATTCACTGCCCCCCTAAATAGCATGCTTGTATCAACACCATACCAATCTAGCAAGTTCTTCAACCGTGAGGTTCTTTTTCATCCTGTACTGCATTTGCCTGCTATTTTTCCTTGCATGATATTTTGTAGTAACCTATATTTGGGACCTCTTATTACATGTCCGAAATAGTCCAGCTTTCTCTGTTTGATGCTTTTAATGATCTCAGTAGTCTTGCTAAGACGTTCTAGTATTTTGAAGTTTCGAATCTTCTCCACCCAGGATTCCCTCTTGCCACATCTTATTGAGTGCTTTAATGACATATACGAATGTATTCATGATATATTTGTTTAGTTTAAATCCCTCTGTGATGTATTCGGTCAACCCTAGCACTTGCAATGTACACGAGTGTTCTGATCTGAGTTCGAATTGAGCTGTTGGTGTAATTTATATTGTTTCAGTCACTACCTTTAGCCTAGCACCAAATACCCTCTCATGAATCTTGCTTATCAGTGATAAAAGGCTCACGAGCCGATACATTTGAGAAAAGCTTCTTCTGTTTTTCAGCTTTTTACATAATTATTTGAGCTTTTTACCATCTATATAAGAATTTTCTTAGCGCCTGAGAATTGCATTTTTGTTATATACACAATCACTGTTCTAGGCACGTAATTTAGTACTTCTAATACCATCTTGTCCATGTTTTTAGTTTTAGTGTATTTTATTAATATTTAGACTTTTTCATCTTGAGGATAGTTCAGTGCAAAGTATATTTTTGGCTTGTCCGTGTTGTGGAGGAATGGATTTTTTCACTTCTCATTCTACTTAAGGTTTTTAAATTTATACCAGAATCAATAGTGATGGATTTGAAATTCTTACTGGAGTAAGACAAAAATTTGTGCTTCGTTCATTTCTTTTCAACGTAGCTACAGACTACTTTCTCTCCAACTTACACTCCGACACAAGAAACATACAATGGACATACAATCATGCTTAAGCAATCTAGAATACCCCGATGATATCTGCCTCTTAGAGCAAATGTGTGGCTAACCAATTGGCAACACTTTACCATAAAGCCAATAATATGAAATATATTCGATATACTCTGCACGAGTACAAGAAACCAATTCGCTAAGGATTTTTGCTTAGTTAAGGAGATATGTCGTGGAATGCAAATTTTAGAGTCCCCATGTCTCTAATAACATCTTATCAACGTCTGTTTTGCCTTGCAATTCTTAGAAGGCACAGGCTAAAGCAAAAAATCTGAATTTGGTTTCGAAAATTAGTTTTCCGCAAATCGCCAGGAAATTTTGACATTCCTGTCAAAATTTCTTGAAGAAAAAGTCAGGACTTCCTTACTGTAAGGAAATGTCATTTCCTTACTGTAAGGAAATGATATTTCTGTGCAGTTGTTAGTGTTCTACATAAATGATAGAAAACACATTGCTTATAAGGAATTAATTTATATTTTGAAAACATCAAGTCATTGCTGAATATATTTTTAAGTTCAATTTGTTATATTTACAGTAATTTGACAGTTAGTACAATTATTGAACATTGGAGGAACACTCTTAGAACTATGAGAAACATTTTGGACAACATGCAGGGTGGAAGTGTCATTTTGTTGAATATTTTGTACTGTGAAAATTTTATTTGCCACCTCAACCTTATTGTTAAGCGATTCTTCGATATATCCTTCAGCAACGTTTGATGACTTCCATCCGCCATGCCTCTTTAAACTAGTTATGTCGGCACCAGAGTCAAGCCAATATTGTTGCAGAAGACCGACGAAAGCAGTGACCAGTATATTCTGTCGGATTTACCAAGTTCAAATAAGTAGCAATTATTTTGGGCATTTTTCTAAATTGATGAATTCCTACCACTTGTCTACAACCCTTTCCGCTTTGATATTTAAAGAAAAATCGGTCACTGTTCATATTTTCTGGTCTCTACGAAACATACTTTCGATAAACATGCAAGTAGATCTGATTAATTACAAATGATCTTGGTTTGCTGGTTTTCGAATCAGGTATGCTGATTAAAAGCTTAGATTCTAAGTTTTCTATATCGTGTACAGTCATTCGGACGAACTCATCCATTCTACAGGCCCCAGAAATACCAAATATTACAGACACCTAAAAAATAAATAAAGCTATAATCTAAATAGAAATTAAAACCTTGTAAATTACCTTAATCATTAAATTTTCTTTATCTGGAGCTTCCTGGATAAATTTTTCAATTTTTCCTTCGTTAAAATCTTAGATTTCTTTGCCCTATAACCTTGAGCTTGCCGTTTCAATAAAGAACGAAGTTTTGAGTATGTAGATATATCTACATTGTGTTTAAGTGCAAGGGTTGACTTCAGCATTGAATAATTGGCCCATAATGTTGAAGATTTCATCTATAAACAAAGGTCTAGGAAGTATGCAATTACAACATTTTTCTGCGAAAGAACTCGTATTTTTACTCATGCGATAATCCATAAAACGTCTGTATGCATTTTCGTACTTTTCTCTTGATTTCTTTGGCAATAATTCTAATGAAGCAGTATTCACTGCCTCAACCAGCTCTGGAGGAGTCCCAGGAATGGAAATTTCATCATCACTTATCATTTTACTTTCGAGAACACCAGCAATTAAATTTATAAGCGTCAAGTTTGACAATTCAACCTCAATACGTTTCCATAGTAACCCAAGTAATTTTATTAGGAATTTTAAAGCACCGTTTATTTGGGAATAAAATTATCGCGTTTTTTTATTAAATCAATCAATATCTGTCGAATTTTAAACGATTTGCGGAAAAATAGTATGTTTACCTCGTAGGAAAAGCCACATTCCTGGACTCTGTGTTGCTAAGTCTCGGCTTGCGCCTCGACTTAGCAATCTTCACAGTCGTCCAGGAATGTTAAGCTTTCCTACCCGGTAAACAATGTACTATTACAGATTCCAATAATATCAGTTTAAAAATCGATATTAAGAAAACCAAATCCATCTGAATCAGCCAGAAATAACATAGAATCATCATTTTCTTTTCCTTCATCTTTGTGTTAGACTGACTCCGCTAATTATATTTCTCCATTTTCTATCTCGGGTCATATCAATATCAATCCCCTTTACCGACTTGTCTTGCTCAACCCTCTCACCACAGGTATTCCTGTCCTACTCCTTCCAGTAATTCGCAGATCAGCAATTCTTCATATTGAGTGATTAAAGTCTCAAAGTTATACATACCGAAACCATCTCAACTTATGCTTTCTCAACTTGATATCAATCGGTACCACCCTCACCTCCCTATATACTCATTTTTAATTTTATCCTTTTTCGTAACTCCTCCCGTCATCTAGGCTATCTGTTAGCTGATCCAACACTAATAAGAATAAGTAAGGATGTTTTTCTACAAAATAAATTCAAATACTGGCCTAATTAATGTGAAGACTATAATATAAAAACTCGTATAGAATACAGGTCACAAAAAACATTACGATAACACCTAAAATAGAAAAGAAGGTAGGTATGTAGATATTTTTAATATCGATATGCGATTTGTTTGAGAGACAAATTGGGCGGGACTATGACATGCCGTATATTACAAGCTAACACATTAATTGGTTAGTAGTAAGAGGATCCACACAGCAGTCCAATAATGTGCTAACACTCGTAGGGCTGTGCTACACAATTTACATTTAGACCTGTTTTTGAATATTGGTAATTTTAATTAATATTTTTGCAGAATTATAGTAATAATTACAATTTCAGTAGACGCAGTTTAATTTGTGTATCAGTGATCGCACACGGTCTACTATACCGGTCATAAAAATAGTCTCTGGATGCATTTTTTTTTAATTTTAATAAAATAATCTATTGTTTGTAGTTTTTTTAACGACATATTTTGTTTATTTAAACTGTTTTATTTACGTAGCACAAAAAATAGTCAACAATGTTTGAAATATAGTTTAATCGTCTTCCGGGTTTGGACCGTGTCATTTGTGAGTGACCCAAAAGTGGGTTCATCTCGACGTTTCGCTACAATTGTATGTAGCTTCTTCAGGAGAACAAAGAAAAAGAAAACAAAAGACAGGAAGATGGATAGTTAGCAACGGTAACTCAGTTACTCAACGCAACCAGAGGCGAATACTAACTACCAAGATGGGCATTTGGTCGCAGTAACTCAACTACTCAACGCAGCCAGAGGTGAAAACCAAATGCCAGGACAGGGATTCACGTCCAACAGCTCAGAACACTAACGCGTCGAGAGGCGGGGAGTGAATCCGACGATTACTCCGCTACCGCTCTATTTATAGTCGCGGTGA